GATGAGTGTAATTGTGCTGTAGCTTGAACATTCTTTGGCATTGCCTTTCTTTGGGATTGGAATGAAAACTGACCTTTTCCAGTCCTGCCACTGCTGAGTTTTCCAAATTTGCTGGCATATTGACTGCAGCACTTTCACAGAGTATAGTGGTATTTCATTACTGCAGTACATTGTTAGACTAATAAACGTGTTACTCTTATAAACTGATCTGTCAGTTTCACTTGAGGACTTAAGAATACTCATCTATCCATTTTGAATTTGTTTTCCAGTATTTGGAACAGAAAGAAGAGTGTTTTTCCAAATTTATAGAGTTCAATTGACTCTTTGGCTCATAAATTTCTAATAAAACTCCACCACTTATCATTTGTTCTTATTATTACTGGAAAAAGAGGACATCTAAATCTATTCTAAAAAGAGATCAAAGAAAGAGGAAGAGAAGGTGAAAACAGAGAGAATTGAAAAAGAGAAAATAAAGAATAAAAAAAAGAATAAGTGAACAAGGTACAGAGTGTTCTTCTGTACCACAAATGCATTTATGTAAAAGTTAAATTAAAAATATTTTCAAAGGAAAGTAGTATATCTTTCAGTTTGAAGACAGTGAAAAACATAACCCAATTAATTATTCATTTTTCCTTATATTTAATGTTATAATTAATTTTCAACACAGACAAGGATAATGCAGAACGGAGAAAGAGATGCAAAAGAGCATTTTAACAAAAGAAAAGGAAAGAAGAAAATGGACTAAGTGAAGAGTTTATGAGAATATAAGAACAAAAAATGGATACTTTTAAAAAGCACAGTTAAATTTCTAAAGGATTCCAATGTCTTTTACACAGCATGCTGATTAACACTTGAATGATAATTCATTAATACTTGCACATGTATGAGTTAGATTTTAAGGAGAAAAAAAATCAGTTTGCATTTTATCAATCATAATGTAAAATATTTTTCAAATAATGTTCACTGTGTTATAAGTTGTTTCTCTAATTAGTTCTGTATTCCTAACTTGCGAATTTGTGAGAGAAAAAGCTCAAGTGAAGGGGGAACACTCATTCAGGGTATCTGGCCTTTATAACTTAATTATTATCAAGAAGATGCAGGCGTGGTGGTTAAGAGCACGGGATATAGATCTAGAGTAGCTGAACTGGAATCTGGCTCCCTACTTTCCAGTAGCGTGACCCTGGATTTGGGTTCCCCTGGGAGTGAAAGCTGAGACAAGCATTCCATGGTAAAGGATCCACCTAGAAAGGCGTCCTCTCAGAGAGGACGGAGTTTCACCTCACAGGGGAATTTTGGAGTTTGTGTGGAACTCATGTTAGAGTTTTCCCAACTGAGGAAGTTAAAGTTTTGTTTTCTTATCTGCCAAAATTCCTATCTTCCATTGGCTGAGGGCAGCTTCCTGGGATATTAACTGTCTGACACCCGAGCTCACCCCAGATGGGGCACCCCAGGCAGACGGTGGAAGCGGTTCTCAATGTGTAGCTTTAGCTCCCACTTCATATCTTATATTTGAAAGACACCATAACACCAGCATGGTCTTTCTAAATTTTATTAACAAAACATAAGATTAGGAGAATATGTTGCCTCACCAATTTAGGGACAACGCCCCTTGTCAGCTTGGAAGCAGTTATGGAATGAGGACGACGCCCCTTTCCCTAGGCAACATAATTCTCCTAAAAGGAAAGGGGGGGATGAGAGAGTCATTTCCTAGGCAGGTTGATAAGAAGTCTAGGGGTCCCCAAGGAGAGGGAGGTCTGGGATATTCAAAGAGGAAGAAAGGACAAACTTTTTTACTTTTTTTCCTCTACATTCCTTAGGATTATATAACAATAATGTATCCTGCCTGAGGACAGTCTTTGGATTAAACCCTCTGGCTAATTCTGTTATCTTAAAACATAAATTATGGGAGTAGGTCTGGTCTTTACAAGGATGTATCCTGCCTGAGGACAATCTTTGGATTAAACCGTCTGGCCAACTCTGTTATCTTTTTTTTTTTTTTTCAACTCTGTTATCTTAAAATGTAAATTATGGGAGTGGGTCTGGTGAGGTCTTTGCAGCCTCCAGACATTCTTTGGATTCATTGGAGAGTATATAACTCCATTGCTAATACTAGCAAAGGGAGTACTCTTTTGCCCCCTTCTGATGCCTATGTCAGAAGCTTTCTTTATCTCCTTTATACTTTAATAAAACTTTATTACACACACAAAGCAAAAATTAAATATAATAAATCTTCATGGGTATTTGATACTGTGCCAAATCTAGAAAATTATTTTAATTGCAATAGTATTTAAACTGGAAACTGAAACTCCCATCTGATCATTTTGGACTCTTCCTTGTACTATGATAAGGAAAACAAAAAGGGGGAGAGTTGATCCCACTATAATTGTAAATACTCATCTGCAGGGATATAAGAGTGGCACCCAAGTTCCTCTCTTTTAATACAGCCCAATTCAAACTGTTCCTAAGACCAGTCCATTTAAATAAGACTCTTTAGAAGTCAGCTTTTCCATGTTTCTTTGTCATTTAAAGAACCTGAGGAAGCTGAGGTTCTTTAGAAGACAAAGAGAACCTGGACCGGCCTCAGGCATTTGGAAGTCATTTAGGGTCTGTTACAGAAAATGGAGATTGTGTCCTTTAATATGTTCTATTATGGTTGTGTTATAAAGAATTCTAATATTCAGTGAATTTTCCTCTTATCTCTCCTTTTCATATTTTATGAAGGATATGGTATTGTTGCTCACTTTATTATTCAGTCTATGGTAATGAGTATTGAGATAGGATTGTGATAGAATAAAGAGATAAATAGAAACTCAGAAACACTGCATCTATTAATTGGGTGAGCCTGGCTTGCCTCATTTTTGATTGAACAAGGGTTGTGCTATACTAGGCAGCAGTATTTCTTCCTTCCCCTTCTCCTCCAATTTAAAAGTATAAACAACTATCTGAGCAGGTAGAGAGGAAAGTTGTAGAGAGATGGCAGGTGACAGTGAGGAAGTCCTCATGATCACCAAAAACGTGGAAAGCATATATGAGCTCCACTGGGCTCCATGGGAAGAAGCTGGTCATCAGTTTTCTTGCTGAGACCTCATTCCAGAGGGCTGGACACTAGGAGATGTTCAAGAAGCAAGAAGCCATGGTATGTGCTGCAGGAGGCAGCAACCGAGGGGTCCCTGAAGGGACCTGGGGTTGAGCGGATAGGAGGTTCCCTAGCATGGGGCCCCTGGGAAAGTTAGAGTGTGGATTCAACTGTAAGGGGACATTGAAGACATTGCCTCCTCCCCTTCAGTTTCTGCCCCCAATACCCTGAAGCAGAGAGGTATCTAGAAGATGATGGGGAAGGAGAGTAGAGGGCACATCAAACTCCCCCCATACCTCAGGTCCTGTGGACCTGATCGTGGTGGGCTGGGACCAGCTGGAGGGATGGCAAGGGAGGGACAGAGGAGGAGATGGGAATAGTTTCCATGGAGCATGCTTGAAGGTAACTATCAGAGAAAAGGCAAAGTCATTTCATATCTAAAGCTTACCAATTTCAATTATGCAGAAAAAATTTCATTACTAGAAAAAGCCAGAAAAGGGAAGTAAAAATGAAAGACCAAGACTAAAATAAGTTACATAGTCAGGGATTATTGGGATAATGAATCCTCTTATTCCCCCACTCCCCATATATTTTTAATGTTGCCATACAATTCATACAAAACAAACATGTGTGCCAAATTCCATACACCAAAGTTGATATTCATATGTAGTTTTTTGGTTTGACATCTATGCTGAAACATGGGTTGTAGCATGTATAATTATACATGTATACATTATACACATATAATGTATACCTACAAAAGCAAAGCTAAGTTTTTAAACACATTCTCTTGAGAATAAAGCAACAACACTATTATGATGAGTTGTGTTAGAATTGCATTCATATTTGTAGTTTAGAAAACCTTGAGGGATCATGATTCAAAGAGTAATGTATCTCTTGACAAGGCCTTATGACTCAACTCTTTTATCCTCTTTGGAACCATCTTAAGATGTAATCTGGGTTTGAAGACTGAATTAAGAGGAGTGTTTGTAGCATTTATTGGACACTGTCAGAAAGCACAAAGTATTAGACAGGTCAAGCAGCCACCTAGCGCCTACCTTGGTATTATCTTCAGTGTAGTTAGAAAAGTGAAAATATCCATGATGAAACACAGATAAGTCTGAGGATTTTCATCAAGAAAAAAAAAATCTGTGTGCTTCCTTTGGAAGGATCTCTCATGAAAGAAGTTGTGTCCTCCTCCTTATTTTGATTATAGTGGGGTGCAATTTATTATGTTCTAGAATTTGAGCCTGCAGTTGACTTTTTTTTTTTTGACTTAGAGTGACATTTTCAGTAATCACTCAGAAATTCCAGATCTTAAATGCATGTAACTACCAAAATATAATAAATCACAAAGCAACTTGAAAGACAGGTTGTTTAACAGTAATATCCTAGAAGCTTATGAGGTAGGAACTTTGCCATATGAAATAGACCTGAGTTTCCACTAACATACTTGGCCCTCTTCAAAGTTAAGACTTAGAATCTTCTCCTATAAAATTAAGATCAAATGAGATTTCCCTCCTGATAACCCAAGAGCAGGAGATTTTTTTCATTTGAAGTTAGGATTTGAGGAATTATTATTGTATTTTAGAAGTTACTGAGACCAATAAACACTGATTATTTTGTACTAATTTGAGAATATCACAGTTATGGTTATTCACAACTATGGTTTACTAAATGTTATGAAATTAAAATCAATAGCAAAGGTCAATTCTTCCATACAGTTTTAGTATTAAGCATATCTCAGTATTATTGAAATTATTTATCAAATAAGTTTCTACAAACTGAATAATTTTTTTACAAATCATAATCTTCATATTGATACTTTATTATAGTCAAATTACAGATATTATTTATAATGATTTCTACATTGAAGTTTAGTTATATTAAGTTTACCTCTGTTCATGTCCAATGTGTTACTTACTCTGTGAGGTTTGGGTGTCTATGAATTTCTTTATCAGGGCATCAGTCGTTTGGGTATAAAGACTGAGAGCATATCTCAGAGACTGAAGATCTGGGCTTTTCTCTAAGAAATTCTTTTTCAGGCCATTTCCTCCTGCATGAAAGTATTGCTAGAAAGAAAAGAAAAACAATGTAAGAGGAGGCATTTAGAAAGAAGTATTAGATGAGGGATTTTATGGCCATAATCAGGAGGCTCAGATGGGATAATACAGTATGATCAACATAAGATAGATCCAAAGATATAGTACCATACGGCCATTACCACGTCATCGCCATGTAGTTCAGGCTACCTTAGTATCTCAAGTGTTACTCTCATTTAAAACTTTAGTTAAATGGGATCATGAAGATATAGAGGCTGAATGCTTACAGAATGCTAGGTTTAAGATAATGTGTCAACTCGATTGTTGACTTCTGTTTCCAGAGCATGAGAAAAACATCCAGGGTTGTCAGATTTCACAAACAAAGCATCTCCTGGTCACATGTTTTCCAGATACTGATGTGCAATTCTAGGCCAAGTGCCCACTGCTCCCACCTTTCCTGTGATCTAATCACAGTGGTACACACACATAGGCCACCCTGAGGATGCAGAGTGGTCCTTATAAATCCAGCGTCCCCTAAACTGTGTCTGAGAAAGGTAATAAAACAGTTTCTTTCTTCTTATTTTTCTTTGCTACAGTCATCCAACAAACTCAAAACATCACCATATTTATAGGTTAAATAATAGAGAAGATATATATTTGACAATAAATATGGTCATTGGGGGATGTTAGGGTTTCTAATGTTGCAAGTATTAAGCACAGATATCACTTCAGAGGGCAGATTATCTATCTTAAGACATATGATAGAGCTAAGGATGTTATTTCCCAGCAATTTATAGATAGCGTGTTTATTGTATTCTGTTCAGGTTAGATAAATGGGTCTGTCTTTCTTTCCCTGTACCAACAACGCTGACCCTCACCCACACTGCAGCCTGGCTCACTAGGATCTAGGATCCTCACAGAATGGCATGTTTTTAAAAAGCTCAACAAATGATTCTGATACACTCTCCTGTGTGTCGTTGGTCTAGCCTATTTTAGAGATTTCCAAGGTAAAACATGTCAACTGAAAATTCAAAATTACTTCAGTTTTCCTCCCTCTGCAGAAACAAATTCTGAGCATTTGTAGGCATTTGGTCATAATTTTAGAGACTATAATATTGAGAAAATTCAGGGCACAGGCCTGAGAAAGTAGGCAATGGGGATATAAATTGAAGAATCTGTGCTACAATCACAAACTCCTTCCTCAAAGAGAAAAACCCATGGTCATTTACAGTTCCATTCCATTCTAGCTGAGCGCACGGTGAAAACACAAATTGCACTTAAATCCACCAATGGTTATGAAGAGGAGGCAGAGAAAAATGGGGAAAGCCTTTCCTTATTTTTGAAGGGATGACAAAGATTTAATATTTAAACATCTTCTATACCTTGATCTTATATAAATATTAGATATTGTGACATATAGAAAGAATTTATTGTGGAGCTAGAGTCCAGAATTGTTTCAGTTGCCTTGGGGGATGAAAAGATATCAGAATTCCTTTCTTCAGGAAATGTGATACGATACTTAAGTGGAAAAGTATTAATGAATGTACTGAGAGGGGAGTTTTGCTTGGAATTGACTGCTTTTCCTGGAGGAGTGGTGGGTTGAGCTCTGGATTTCTGTTCACCTAATGAACCAGGGAAGCACCAGATGAGATAACACACCCTACTTGCAGAGAGCTGCAGCATAGACTGAACCACGACGTGGCGGCTTCTCAGGAGGGGAAAGCATTCGTCCATTCATTGTTTCCCAGACAAGCTCCAATCTTATCATACCCGAGCATAAGTGGTGGAGGCTTGTTAGCAAAGTACAGTAAGAGTAATGAGCTGCAACTAAGATGATGTTTTGTGATCTCTTGGGACTATATGTAGTTGTCAGAAAAAATTGCAAAAAACTTTGAAATGGGCAAAAGTGTTTAATGAGCACTCCGTCTGTGATACCTATCTGAGTTATCCTCACTTTTCACTGTCTCGGAGCTGTGTGTGTGCTCAGTTGCTCAGCTGTGTCTGACTCTCCGCAGCCCCATGGATTGTAGCCCGCCGGGCTCCTCTGTGCATGGAATTTTCAGGCAAGAGTACTGGAGTGGATTGCCATTTCCTCCTCCAGGGGATCTTCTTGACCGAGGGATCGCACCTGAGTCTCCTGTATCTCTTGCATTGCCAGATGGGACTCTTTACCACTAGGTTCACCTGGGCTATGTAAAACTCTGTAAATTGTAGAAAGTGGATAACAATGCATATGACTCCTGTCCAAAGAGATGCAAATTATTTCTGGTGGGATGCAACTGATCACCGTTTTGTGGCCAGATCTGTTTTGCCTGTGTTCAAATTTATTTCAACTTTCCACATTGCTTGCCTTTATGTGAAGCTCTTGGGATTCTTCTTTGAGCCAACTGTAAGATCTTACTGGATGTCTCATTAATTGATGAGTTAAATAATATTTTTGACAAGTTTTATAACTGCATGAGTGTCACAGTTATACTCTTATTTTTTTAATTTTTATTGGAGTATAGTTGATTTACAATGTTGCTAGTTTCTGTTGTATAGCAAAGTAAATCAATTATACATATATGCATATCCACTCTTTTATATTCTATTCCCATATAGGTCATTAAAGATTACTGAGAAGAGTTCTCTGTGCTGTACACTAGGTTTTTACTAGTTATTTTATATATAGTAGTGTTTATATTGTCAATCCCGAACTCCCAGTTTACCCCTTCCTCCCTTCTTCCTTTGTAACCATAAGCTTATTTTCTACATCTGTAACTTTATTTCTCTATTTCTGTTTTGTAAATAGGTTCACTTTGACCATTTTCTTAGATTTCACATATAAGCAATATCATATGGTATTTGTCTTTCTCTATCAGACTTACTTCGCTCAGTAAGACAATCTCCTAGGCCAACCATGTTGCTGCAAATGGCATTTTTTTCATTCTTTTTATGGCTGAGTACGATTTCATAGTGTGTGTGTGTGTGTATACATATATATATATATATATATATATCTTACATCTTCTTTATTCATTCCTCTATTGATGGACATTTAGGTTGCTTCCATGTCTTGGCCATTGTAAATAATGCTGCACTGAACACTGGGGTACATGTGTCTTTCTGAATTATGATTTTCTTCAGATATATGCCCAGGAATGGGATTTCTGGATCATATGGAAGATCCATTTGTAGTTTTTTTAAGGAATGTCCATACTATTCTCCATAACTGGTTGTACCAATTTACATTACCACCAATTGTGTGTGGGGATCCCTTTTCTGTATTTTTTTTAATCACAGTTTCAATTTCATAACTTGTGATTGGTCTGTTTATATTTTTAAATTATTCCTGATTCAGTCTTGGAAGGTTGCACCTTTCTAAGAATTTGTCCATTTTTTTCTAGGTTGTCCATTTTATTGGTTTATAGTTGTTTGTAGTATTTTATATTTCTGTGATATCAGTTGTGACAGCTTCTCCTTTTTCATTTCTAACTTTATTGATTTAAGCCCTCTCCCTTTCTTCTTGATGAGTCTGGCTAAAGGGTTATCCATTTTATTTTTCTTTTCAAAGAACCAACTGTTAGGTTCATTGATTTTTGCCATTGTTTTCTTTGTCTCTATTTCACTTATGTCTGCTCTGATCTTTATGATTTCTTCCTTTCTCCTAACTTTAGGTTTTATTCTTTTTTGTCTCTAGTTGCTTTAGGTGTAAGATTAGGTTTACTTGAGATTTTTCTTTTTTCCTGAGGTAGAATTGTATTACTATAAACTTCCCCCTTGGAACTGCTTTTGCTATCCCATAGGTTTTTGGGTTATCATATTTTCATTGTCATTTTGTCTCTAGGCATTTAAAAAAAAAATTCCACTTTGCTTTCTTCAGTAATCATATACTCTTTTAAAACAAATGATCTTTCACAGTGTATGTAGAGTAGCATGGTGACAACCTTAATAGAGATTACTGTCTAATTTGTGAGGAAGGGCCATCGCCTGTGGCTTACCCTACAGAGCATCAGTGATGGGGTGACCTTCCTGGCCGTTCTCTCTTCCTCTTCTCCCTTAACAAATATTTACTAAATCTGTGTTGAGAACCAGAACTTACTCCAAGGATATGAAGCAAAAGATGCCTAGAGATTGTTCCCAAAGGGACATTTCCCAAGTAGGAAATGTTATTGTCAGTGAATGACTCCAATGATATGTTGGAGGCGTAAAAAGAGAATTTAAAAAGACAGACAATAGGACTGGGAAATAATGCTGTTGCTGAAGGAATCAATAAAGACTTTCAAAGAGGTGACACCTATGGTGTCTTGTTTATTAACACTGCCATTTTCCACTTCAGCAGCCACCCGATAATTTACCACTATGGACTAAAGAAGGGGAAAGTCCCACTAGGCAACTGAGAGGAACTGCTTGAGAAGAACTGAAGTACAGGTATTCCCCATCCTTTGAAAATTGGCTTTATGCCACTTCACTTTTGTAGATGACCTACATTAGTACTGTTTTTGCTAACCAAAAAATACATGAAAATGATTTTCACTTTTGTTAAAAAAAAAAGAGATGTTAAAACAGCAGTGAGCTCTTAGAGGCAGTGTACATCCTGGGTAGTGAGAGTGGTACCACCCAGCGTCTAAGCATCAAGCTGCCATGGTTTTGGACTGTATTTGTGCTTGATCTCGATTTATTTTGTGCATCCCTTAGCAGGATGAGTCCTAAGGTAATTGCTTCTTGCCTATGTCATTTCAGCTAATGAAAGGTTTCATAGGAATGCTCTCCTTCCCTGTAGTGGGGGATACCTGCCATTGTAGTTCTCATATTTCTTTGGTACAGTTTAAAATATACTGTTTTAGTACTGTCACTCTATTTTCATTACTGACCTTGTGCTTCCTGAAAGTTACAAGTTGCCTTTAGGAAGTAGAAAGCCTTGAGAAGTTAAGAGATTTCACAATGCTTTTTAATACATTAAAGGCTGTGCGATTCACAGTGGTAGGGAAAACTGTTTGACCTTTCACTAACAAACCTGTCCTTAAAATTATTAGACTATAGGACACCTA